GGTTGTACTAACCATAGCTGACTGATCAATCCCAGGTTGTCTCAACATGACATTCCTCCTGCTCTCCTCTCCAGAAACAATGGCATAGGCTTGAGAGAGTTGCCACTCTCTCTAGAAAGGATATGTTGCCTAGCAATGTCGAATTCAAGGGTTGATAGGTTGCAGCATCATTTACACTTTACCATACCACTGTTTCTAAGTGATCTATCTCCTACCAAACGGTTTTCAGCATTGAAAGATACATGGCAAGGGTTTATCTCCCTATTTTATACTAATCACCTAATTCCTTAACTAATAGGCTCTGGCTACATTCTGCTTCCGAGAATAGGTTTCAGTCACTCCATCCCAAATCTCCTTTGCAGTATTAGCCCATAGAAAATTTTTGCCAATGTAAGGTAACATAGAATTACACAGCCAGGACATTACCATGTAATTCTCCTGCACCCATCGAGAAGAATCTGTATCAAGTTTCTTCTCCTCCCTAGTGATGTACCCTAATTTTCCACAGGCACCAATAGCCATCTTGGCTGATTGTGCCCATTCTAAATAATTTGTACCATCAAGCTTTACTGTAGTAATGATTCCAAACCCAAAAAATATCACCACTATCTCCAACACCCAGTCCCATGGTACTGGTGGATTTCACCTCGGTACTCCAACTCTCCATCTTACTTCAAACAGTTCAACAGTAAGAAAAAACTAGGTTGGAAGGCTTCCAAAAACAATTTGGTTTCACACACATAGAAACAAACCCTTTCGGAAGAAGAAAACCCTATTCAGAGAGAAATCTTTCTCCTCTTAGTGCCTCCCAATAGAGAAAAGAGTGAATCGGCCACTCCAGGAGGCCCAGAAAATTCCAAAAACTTAATCGCCCTCTACAGAAAAGCAAAAGAAATCTAACAATACCAGAGCGCCCAAGATCAGATCAAAAACAAAGAGTCCAACTTTTCTAGGACTCTTCCCCGTACTCCAGTTCTTCCTGATTTTGATGCCAAAACGAAGATCACCTTCCTGATGACTAGATCCCATAAAAAAATCCAAGAACTGGGCAATCTAATAGCAGATCGATCAGCCCTTTATTACTTCATGCAGTCAGCTGATCTAGGGCTGCATGAGAATACATCAAGAATCCTAGCCGAAGCTCTGATACCAAGTAGAAATCTGCTGAATTCAAAAATATGAAAGAAAATAAGTAGTTTCTTGAAGAGAGAAGGAAGAGAGAAGAAGAAGAGAAAAAGAGATCTTGAAAAGAAAGAGAGCAATAATCTAACCACCCCCTTCACTTAATATTTATATTAAAAATATAATACAAAGACTACTATGCCCTTATAGGGCGGCAAAACATAAAACAGCTTATAAAAGACTCAAATAAACAATAAAATTTGGACTCACATAACTGTTGTGGTCCCCACTTCCTATCTAACAACTAACATAAAACATCTACTCTTAAAACAACACAAAACTGACTAATCTTCAACAGATTCTAGTGGTTTCTTTAATCTTTGTGTAGCAGAAATATAAAATTTAATAGAATCTTGAATATCCCAAGATTACATCCATGGTGGTGTACGAAACCCTAGTTTCAAAAACTGAAACTAAAACATACCTTTAGTGAAGTTCAAAATACTCTAGTGGAGTTCCTGAATTCAGCTTTGATTCAAATCTGCAGCCTCAGAAGTGTTTGGCATCCAAGAATAATCCACATGAAACAACATGATCCAAGAGAATAAGGAAGAGGGTGAAGGAGGGACGGCCCCAAGATTGTGCTAGCAATCCTTTTCTTAGATTAGGGTTTTGTCTAGCAGAAACAATGACTCCTTAAACCCTAGGGTCACCCCATGCACTCTTTTTCTAGAGCTTATCTCATAAGTTATGCTCCTATTACCATTAGGAGATCTTATCTCATAAGCAATGTTTTAAAATGTGGAGGCACGATGCGAGGCGTTCCACTACCTAGAGGCGTGAGGCGTAAGCCTCCTGAACACAAGAAGGCATAAGCCTCCTTGTGAGGAGGAAGGAGGAGGAAGGGGGGATCTCATTTTTCTTTATTCTTAATAAAAATCTTTTAGACATGAAGAATAAAGATGCATAGCACTAGTTGAAAGGGAGGTCTTGTTGAGGAGGAGGAAGAATAGGAAGGGGGGATCTCATTTTTCTTTATTTTTAATAAAAATCTTTTATATTAAGAAGAATAAAGATGCATAGGGGTTTCTTTTCCCAAAGTAGCAAATAATGCCAAACTCCTTCAGTATCCCAAAAGGAACTCCATCCATATGAATTGAATTGAAACTCTTTTAATTCTCCCTTTAATGTGAATATTGATCATGATTCATAGGGGTTTCACAGATCATGAGTGACACCTAGCATATGTCATGACCACCCTAATGGTTTGAATTCGGAAAACTGAACCCTTTCCATCTACAATTACCATGCAGTCGGATCCTTCTATCATGCAATGTCTTGAAAGAGCAAAGGGCCATGGTGAATATGTCAAACGTACTAGCTCAATCATATGTCTCACTAAATTAATGATGACCCATATGGTGATAGTTGGAACTCTTTCAATAAACCATACTACCTTGGCCAAGGACTTCTTGAGTGATAGATTCCATTTTTGTGTATTCATACCCCTCTATGCATAAGAGCTAACACATGCATGCTTAAATCCCTTGGTTAGGGTATAAGTGTTTGCACAAGATATCAACAATGCCTCACCTGTAAAGATCATCTACATGACTAAGATGATACAAACAATTATTGACAATTCATTGCATGCAACTATTCTACTAATAGGTCAAGCTTAGTGAATTTGTTCACCCACATATGCTTTAGTGTCTTCACACAGGTAACTTGAGATTCATCACTCCTTAAGGTAAACATAATATGTGTCAGTCTATCCAGATCATCAAAGCCCCCTTGATAATCCATTGACTGGGAACTATTTTAGGATCTTGTACGAATGATAGACCTATCTCAAATTCTCAACACACTTATGAATATACCAGCTTGACAAAGATATTATGGACTATTGATGTAATCATAAGCAAAAAGATATGAATGAAAACTGCCTAATTTGTATTGAAATATGAATAGTAAAAGATTGCCCTTTTACATTGTCATTAGATTGTCTTATGGCATGTGCCTTTCATCCCACTTTAGAAAAATCCCAAAAATCTTGGTTCCTCAATAATTTCCAAGATAACTTCCATTAATTCGACTTCACCATCAATCATGAGAAGCGATAGGCTGCATTATCCATTAATCCATGGATAATGAATTTTGCCTTTATTGTCCATGGAACCAAGGCCTAATGGAAATGTATTTAACTGTCTTGTTGAAGCATTGGCAATGCTAATCTTGAGTAACGACATTTTCCTTTTCCCAATAGAGATTGTTGAGTTGATTGTCCAATGGAATCAAAGCCATTGGAGTTGAGTAACTTTTTCTTGGTCCATCTTGTGCAGACAGAAGCCTTAATAGGGTGCTATAAGAGCATTAGAGTAGATCATGAATCGTATCCTCAATGATATGCTTGGAAAATTGGAGGTGAGACAAAAAGACTAACTAGGATTGAGGGTGGACTGACATGCCAGTTGTTAGATAATGTGTTGAGGCTGGTTGGTGTCTTGTCAAAGGAAGATATTGAGTCATTGGATTGGCTGTTGTTGAAGCTGAGACAGAGAATGGGTTGAAGGAAGATGGAGAAAGAAAAAAGGGGTTTCTTCAGAGAAAAAAGGTGGGTGTTAAAATGAAACCGGATAGTATGAGATTGGATTGGGGAAGGAAAAGAGATAAGAAATAAATTTATGTAGATCTGGCTTCTCTAAGTTGGTTGCTGGCTTGTTGGCATAATGTAGCATGCTTAGCAGGCTTGTAGTTCTGTGATTGGTGGTTGGTTTGTGAAGTCTGAAGCATAATATGCATTGGTCTTTTGCATGGCAAGAGTGTCTTCAGTGGGCTGCAAGGTTGCTTGTATTCTTTTTATCTTTTTATACGTTTTAATTGGGGATGGCTGTCAGAAAGATCTATGTATTAATTATTGCTGATAGCTTGATGGTTATTTGATGGGCAGCTCTCCAGATATTAGAAGCATCTCTAGATGTTGTGAAAGTAAGATGATCGAAGTGTACTTCTGTCCCTCCTAAAAGAGACAACTATAATAAAACCAAGATCTTCCACTTCTCCAAGGTCTTCAAATAGCTAAAATCTGTACTTGAGAAACTTTGGTCAGGAAATTCTAACAAAGTAATCTGTTTGGCCTTTGGGGGAAAGAAAATTCTAACCATCCTACCACCATTCAAGGGAGTTGGCTATCATCCTAATGTGATGCCATGTGAGCTTGGAAAGTGAAGTTTGGTGTGGTTAGAGCATTGCTTAGTGCAATAATTTTGCCAGTTAATTCTGGTACCGTTTTCTATTTCTTTTGTTTATTTCTTGTTTTCCTACATAAGCTACACTCAAGTAAATTTCCCATTATTTTCTTTGACCATTAGTGAAAAAATTTACCCGCAAAGACTATTAATAGTTGGAACCAACAAGAAAATACTCAAGAGAACTTGCCAAAAATAAAGGAACTGCCTTACTGATAAAGAATATCAAGAAAAGCTCTCATATTAAGACCCAAATTTATGAGGTGGAAGCAGATTGGGCTGTACCTAAACCCACTGATGCAGGACAAAATAGGGCCCTAGAAATTTCAGATCTGGTGGTGGGCCTTATGAGGTGAAGGAGGGGTTATAGGTGATTAAGGATAAATAGGCAAGTAGGCAGTTTGCAGTGAGAAGAAGAAATAAGGGTGGGGTAGGAAGAGAAATTCCTAGCAACAACTAGAACTCCCTAAATCAAACTTTTTTCATCAAATCAGTCCTTCCTAAATTGTATTTGTGGTGTATGTGCAAACGAGCTTATATTGGAAATGAATCTTTTTCCCCAAATGGACTTTGTATCTGAATACAAAATGAGTGCCTAAATCAAACAATTCATCTCAATAGAAAAATTACCTCCTCATTGTGGTGAATCTTGCCTTCATCACTACTTTGCAAAATTAAGCCCTCCAGGATTTGATAAAGCAATGGTGTGTACTTGGGGTATTCAGACTGCAAAAAAAACATATGTTTTAGAGAACATGAACAAAACATGGATTTTTAAAGTATGCCAAGCCATAAGGAAGAAAATTTAGGCCAGAGAGAAGGTGATATAATAATTTTAATTAGACACTTCTCTGCTTCAACAAACTCAGGAAAAATAATGCACATCACACAGTGATTTAAAAGGCATGCCTAGGCGCACGGGCGAGGTGCATTTTAGGGTAGGCGCCTCGCCCAGGTCCTAGGTGCATGCCTGGTGCGCCTAAGCGTGCGCCTTGCGCCTAGTGCGCCTTGCGCCTTGCGCCTTAGCCCAGGCGTGCGCCTTTTGAAAATTTGACGCTTTTTCCTTTTTTTGAGTCTAGCGGTTGGGCCAAGGGCTCCGCCCCCGGATCCCCGTGCCACGCCCCTCGAGGCCAGCCCAAACAAGTCCATGTTAGGGTCTTAAATTCTGAGTTTTCACACAAAAGATAATGCTTTTATAGTAAAGCAATTAAAACTTCAAGAACCCCTGTGCCACGCCCCTCGAAGCTTCAAGAACACCCTATTTGGTAATGTTGTCCATTCATTCGTCCTAATAAAATATCTTCTTAAAAGCAATTAAAACTATAAAATCATTATATTTTTTGTGAAAACTCAGAATTTAAGACCCTAACATGGACTTGTTTGGGCTTTCCTCGAGAGGTGTGGCACAAAGGCGACTCATAGAATTAGGAATGTAATATGTCACATTAGCTACTTGATTTAATTGAGAAAAAAGAGATTGTGGGTTTTATATGCTTGAAAATGTTTTATATGTTTGATTTCATTTTTAAATTCCCATTTGAATATGCTTTACATATTATGTTTATATATTTTAATTTTAGATAATAGGTTTTTTAAAACATTTATTTTAAAATTTAAGTTTATATCTTTATTAATATTATGTTTTATAATTATTTGAATTTTTTGGCATTTTTTTGACATTTTTTATTTTTTAGCTTTTTTTTTTTAAATTGTGTGCCTTGCCTCAGGCGCAAAATGGCCCTTGCACCTTTCGCTTTTAAAACACTGACATCACAGATAGGAGAAAATGCAGGGCAATCAACCTGATGCTATATGTTTAGATCAGGGTAATCAATCTGATTCCTTTAGTACATTATCTTGCTATACATTTTGTTCATATTTAATACAATGATACTTTACCTTCTCTCTCTCAAGAAAAAAAAAAATAGATTGCCCTTGTATTGGGATTCATATCTTCCAAGATAATGTTCTTAAATTTGGGTCTGGGTGAAGCATGCAAATTGAGGTAAGTAGTCAAGGAGCTAGCTCCATTTTTGGTTGTAGTGAGACATAATTGTGTGGTGGGCTTGGGCCTTAGTTGTTGTAGTGCATCTCTTTTTGTATTTAAGTTTTATAGGCCTGAGCCTGTCTTGTACTTTTTATTTTATTGCTGCCACCTAAGGTTCAAAGTATTGATACGATACGAGTTTCGGTCGTATCGTATCGGTACTTAGAAAAGGCTGAAACTTTATTTTTTTTAGTTTTTTTTCACATTTTGGTTTTTTGGGAAGCTTTTAGCATGCTTTTTATTATTAAAAAAAAATTGGGGGTCCGAAACGCCTGTTTCCAGGTGTATCGTATCGATACTTTGAACCATGCTGCCACCTAATCAGGGGCAGTTTTGTCTTTCTTCTTCTCTTTTCTCTTAAACCCTGAATGTAAACATGGGTCAAAAATTGAATGTTCACCAGTATTAGTGTTTAACCAAATGGACTAGCTAATTTAATCGGTTTCAGCCATTCACTTATGTTTTCCCTTCTCTTTTCTTCTTCCCTCTTCTTCCTTCTCTTTTCTTCTTTTAATCTACATAAGCATTACCTATTAGAATATTTTCGATAAATAACAGTAGAAATTTCATTATTCATGAACTTGACTAATCCAAAGAACTGGATAGTAAATAAATGCATACAAGGCTACAGCCAAAATTGACTAAAAGTTTATAAATCTGTAATAGACCCTGGTTTCCCAAAACAAAACTTTCCCTAGTCACCCCTATTTTTGTTAGAGTATCATCCAAATCTTTTGCAGTCCTGGGGATTCCCCCGAAGTGAGCTATTCAGACTATGTCCTAGAACCTGTGTGTGTCTCCGGATCTGTACCTCCAAGATTTTTTCTTTTTTGAAAAAAAAAAAAGTGTAAAGGATTGCATTAATTATCAATACCTGACAATCCCCATCAACAATTAAATGTCTTTCTTTGCATCTTCTCCATATTCAATCCTTGTGAGAGCTAGCATTTTGGCCTTTAAATAACTGCCATGCCAAAATGGCCCCAAATAACTTAGAAGCAAATTGCTGTCATTATTTCTTATAACACCACCTCTTCTTGAGATCCCTAGGTGATGCAGCCCAAATATGAAGAAAGAAAATGGGAAGAAATTTGCTCAAAAGAAATAGAAAAAGAAGGAAATTCGTTGGAACTTTGTTAATATAAGATGTACAAAGAGGCAACAAAGCTAGGGGCTCACTCACCCAAAAAAGAAGGAACTCGCTCACCGAAGAGAGGACTCTCTCAACTCTCAAAACAAAGGAAATAACTTGATGCCTCTAGCTTGAGATTACAAGGCTTTATAGAGAGGAAAACTAGTTGTTGGACCATTTAATAAAACAAGCTGTTTTAGAAATTCACTAACAAACTGGTCATTAGAAACATACTAACCAAAATGGCTATTGAGAGACCATTAGTGAGTTCAAAAGAAGGACACTTGTCTTCTCCTTTTAAAATGTTTTGGTGCTTCTCGGGGCATGATTTTGAACTACATAGATTTCCCCCTCTTGAAAAGAACTTGTCCTCAAGTTTTAACAACTTCAAACTCAAAAGAATGATTTGTCACCATGCCTCCACTACATTTCTTTGTTCCTGACCCTTTAATAGGCGATTGATGGTGTAAACCTCCAATTTGAATTGAGATTTCTTCATTATGCCTCATCACTATTGGAACGTGCTTTTTGTGCTTCAAATTAGCTAATTCTTCTTTTAAGACCCATTCAAAACTTTGAGAAGATGTCTTCCAATAAGGATCCTCATATACTTGTATGGAGCAGTCAAAAATCTCCTATTTGATAAGTATTGCCTCCATCATTTCGAAATTGATCATAAATGATAGAAGATTCCTCATAAGCAATAGGCACTTCATCAAAGTTTGGAGGACCATCCTAGTCAATGTACTCTTCTTCATTTGAAATTGTTGATGAAAATGGCCATATAAGATTGTTGTTGCAATCTTCTAAGGCTTTCTCCATAAACATGGTTGGACCAATCTAGTTGTTCATAGGAACTTATTTGGGAAGCCCTTGTAAGATCTCTTTCATCATGCACTAGAGGTTTTTGTAGCCTTTCTTAAGCTCATTGCTTTCTCCGAAATAATGAGCACATATTGAATTGGAGCCTTGTGTTGAATTTCAACTACCATTCCCTTCCTTCCCCTACTTTTTTCTTCAAAACAAAAACAGCTTAAGTGTTGAAACGGAGCATCGGGCTATGGCACATGGTGTTTTGAGCTACTTTGGTCCAAGACTCTCATGGGAGAATTAGGGATTGTATTTGATGGCCCTATGAAACTATACTATGATAATCAGGCAGCTATTATTGTTAATAATCTGGTTCACCATGATAGGGCCAAACATATTTTAGCTCACTGTCACATTGTTATAGTAAAGGTGGCTATTGAGAAGTTTGTTTACCATTTGTTAAGTTGGGAAACTACCTATCTGGTGTATTGACAGCAAGGATGTTTAAACCAAGTTACTTGATAGTCCTAGAATGTTGGACATGAATATCAATGCTTAACTTGAGGGGGTGGTCTTGAGAATGGTGTAAATTACCACTTAGGAACAAAATTCTAATTTTCACCAATATTAGTAATTAATCTAATGGACTGGCTGATTCAACTTATTTTGGTCATTCACTCATACACTTTCCCTTCTCTTTTCTTCTTATTCGTCTATGCTCTCCTCTTAATCTTCACAAGCAGAAGCCATTACAATCACAAGCCAGACCATGGTACTACCTCTCATTCCTATCCTTTGGGGGGTTTCCATGCAACACTGAGTTTAGGGAATATAACATCCTCAACCCTCAATGTCCCTTTAAAAAGAAAAGGACTAATATAGACTGAGATTGTAAAGCCAAGCCAGCATAGGGTTGCCAATAGGTTTTGGTTGGATAGCCTGAGGCTGAAACTAAATCTGGGAACATGCTAGCATAGGTTGCAAATAGGTTTTGGGGATGGCTACTGAAAAACCTAATCACAAGCTTGCACATCTAGTCATAGATAAATATCAAAAATTAGGTGACAAGTATTATAACTATCATTAAAACTCTTAGGTGAGCAAGTACTTGATCACAACAACTAATCCAATCATCGTGACAAGTATTATAACTATCATTTAAATCAAACCTGCCGCACTAAAAAGGTCAGATTCATTATCCATTGGTGTTTAGCATGAACAATTCAAAAGTTTGACATGTGAATCTGACCTTGGGCATATTTCCCACAACATATGCATACCACGATCCACAACCATATGAAACCACTCCTTATGAATTTGGAACATTCAAGAAATCAGGGATCCTTTTGGTATTACATATACTACACATTACAGGTAAATCAGGGGTGGGGACACAGAGCAAGGTGCATGTGGTTCCTCGGGATTGGTCTCAAGTCTGCTCTTCAGGGCTCCAATTCTTAAGCTGCTGTTTTTCATATTTGTTATGGATCCTAATTTTTATATTTTATCTAATAAAACTTCTTCACTGGTAAAAATAACATGCAAGTCCTTCATAGATGTTTATAGAAACTTTAAATACAATAGTTCACAATCATACAAGATGTATTCTCACAAACAGATACAGGAAGGAAGTTATACCTTCAAGGAAGTAGATAACTCCTTCCATTCCATGCGTTCTTCTTCAGTGCCTTGTTTTAGGCTTGCAAGAAACTTTATCTTAGCATTGCGAACCTAACCAATCAGTTGGTATAAACATTGTGGATATCCACAATACAGGAATATTAACACAAATGAGATATGCTTAGAAGTGAAAAGTTGTTCAAAAATAATTTGGGAAAGAAATCCATGTACAGTAGACCACAAAAAAGATGAAACTTGAGATATGCAGGTACTTCAAACCACACTTCAAGTGAAATTAAAAACTAGGTTTGCACAGAAGCTGGAACAGATAGATACATGTGTTTCTTAGCTTCTCTTCTTTATCATGAGAATATATAATCATTAATCAGGTAATTAGAAAGCAGTGAAATTGCAATTGTCCCTTCATGGTTGTACCAATACAAAAAAACTAAATATCCAATAAATAAACCTTTTTTTATTGATAAGATTGGAAAATGATTAAAATAGGAGAAAGAATTATATGTACATAAGTAGGCTTGCCGCTGTGAGTATGGCTAACTGTTTCCACCTAATCCCTCACTGTTTATTTACATGCATCATTGAGGTACAGTATCCCAATACAAATACGTCCTGTTCACTCCAAGTTTTTCCAAAGAATCAGCCACACTTATAGCTGATCTTTGTACCCAATTTCTTTCATTACATTCTAGTAACACCCAAATCCTTGATTGTGTATCAGTGTTGTGGAATCCCCTTCCACAGCTAGATTTCTGAGGTGAAGAGCTTCAACCAACCAGAAAACTTGACACAAAATCAAGTACAGCATGGGATTCATATACAGAACCTGAAGGATATGGTCAGGACAAATTGTCTTGGGTTTTGTTGGCTTATTCCTTTTTATCCTCTCTTTTTGCCTTTGTGGACTGGCAATCTTAGGTTTGGAAACAAAATATAACATTGCACAAAGGAATATAGATTCCCTTATGATGTAGGACAAGCTAAGTTCTAGTCCTTAGACAGTGTTGAATGGTCTTCTTTGATCAGAATTTTATGGCTATTGATGGCTGTGATGGCTTCTTGAAGAAATAAGAGAGAAAATAGGGATAAAAAGAAGAGAGGAAATACCTGGAATTACACACAGGATGCCTAGAATCACTCTAGGGCATGGGAATCACTCACCATAGCTAGCATAAGCTGAAGAAAACTCAATAAACTTCATTGCCTTTGTGTAAAATGTCCATACATATTTATAGACTCTAAACTCGTAATAATCCTAGGAGTCAAACTGTTAGACTCAATAATCCTAGTAAGACTCAAACTAAGCTGTCATATCCTATTTCAATTCAAAGAAGACTCAATAACTCTAATCCTACTTATGCAATGACTCTGAAACAAGAGTTAGCCAACAATATGCATAAAGGAATAAAGATTCAAGGTGCAGGACTCAAGACACAAATAAGAGTTAGCCAACAATATACCGAAACCATGCTTTTACTTTTAGTTGCAAGTCATCTCTTTTAAATTCTTTTCCTGTACATACAATCATATCAAAATTTAAAACTGAATACAACTTCAAGCATCTACAGTAGTTCTTACAGTAAGCTTTTCTTATCAAATCATTCAAATGTCTTGTATGCATAGATATATACAGACTACCAATTAAGAAAAATAACTAAAACAATAGTTTGTGTACACATGTACAAATGACTAAGCTTTTCTTATCAAACCAACTTGATTACCAATAGTTTGAGTACACATGCACTTGGCACGGTCTACTTGGTGACACTGCGGACTCATACGTTTCAAATCCATCACTGTCTAACATCCCAGCAAACCCTACAGAAAGTTGGAGGTAGACAAGTATGGCTGTCAATAGACTAGATATTTATTTGATGCAATCCAAATCCAATCAAATAACTTTGGTTATGGATACCCATTAAAGGTTATTGGATTGAATTGGATTGTAAAAGTTGTCCATTTGTTATTGGATCAAATTGGTGGGTTTGGTTTTTGACGGGTTCAGTTTTTTTAATCTTTTTTTTTTTTTGATAATTGAAATTTCACTAATCAAAGAAGATAAACTGTTACAAGCATCCCTTGGAGAGGCATGAGCTGCAGCCTCTCCTAAACATTACAGGGAGACAAGAAAAGCTCTTCCCTAGATACCCCTTGTTTGGCAAGAATAGGACTCTAAATGTCATGTGTCTTGTCAGTGAGACAAGTCAGCGAAAGCATTTGCCGACCTACCCACCCATTGGACTCTAATTGCCATGTGTCTTGTTAACCATTTAATTTTTTTCATAAGATCCCTATAGCTCCAAGTAATTGAATCAGGGATCAGCAACCAACCCACAATCACCTTAAAATCCCCTTCAATCAGTAACTTCTCTATACCAAGTTGGTTGGCAATTTGAATTCTTTGTACAGTATCCAACAGCTCAGCCCTTGTTGAATCACCTACTCCCACTGGGCCCGAAAACAGTGATAAGATATTGCTCTCCTCAGTTCTCAAGATTCCTCCAATCCCTAACAATTCCAGATTGCCTTGCTGCTCCCATCAAAATTCAGTTTAATAAAACCTTCTGGAGGAGGTACCCAAACTGCTGCAGATTTGTTTTTCTTAGAAGACAATGTTAGCTAGTACAACCCAGCTTCTCCAAAAGTCAACAAAGGAAAAAGGAGTGAATGAGTCTAGGGTCCTCACTGCTGAAAAGGTTCTCTCCTTGTCAAGAAAGGTTCTAGAATTCCTTTCTTCCCAAATAGTCAGCAGTGTGGCTACTCTAAGGCATCTCCACATGTGTTACCCTTTTTTTGTTGGCCAATCAAAGCTAGACGAGATAAACAACAATTTTACTTCTGATGGAAGAATCCACCTGCAACCAAACAAATCAGAAATCCAATCCCACAGAGCTGCAGAAAAGGGGCAGTAAATCAGCAAGTGGTAGCAGCCCTCACTATGGGTTTTGCACAAAATACATTAATTTGGAGATAGAAACAAAAAAGGCCTTTTCTTTAGCAAGTTTTCCAAAGTATTATTCTTTCCATGATACACCTCCCAACAAAAGACAACTATTTTAGGGGGAATAGACTTGGCCCAAACTTCTCGCAAAGGGAAAGACCCAGGCACATCACTAGAACACAGGGATTTGAAAAAAGAAGCACAAGTAAAAGAACCCTAGGAAGAAAGGGCCCATACTCTCTTAGCAAAAGAAGAATGGTCAAAACAAACATTGCCAAGAGAAGAAAGCAACTCAGTGACGCAAGAAAGTTCAAACTCCCACAAACCTCTATGAAATCCAAAATCCCAGTTCAAAGAAAGAGGGAGGACTGGAGGGGAGCAAAAAGAGAGGAAATATGCTCTTTTTTATAGAGAGAAAGAGAGTAAAGAAAAGGGAAAGGTCTTTGAGTGGCACAAACACACCTAGGTATCTTCCCAAAACAGAACTAGATTACCAGCACAAACAGCATACCTTACATATTGGAGAAATTGGGAAGAATGTCATGTATTGTTATCCAAGGAGTTGATAAGGTAGCTCGACAAGATACTCTAGCATCCCAGCCTAAATTGGAACAGCCAAGAATGCTAACAACAAACTCTCTCTCTCTCCATCAGCCATCTCCACAATACCTTTCCCAATAAAGCTTCATTTTTAAGAACCAAATTCTCTAAACCTAGCCCCTGTCCATCTTTGCTATAACTAACTATCCCCAACAAATTAAATGGTCATTTTTTTACCCTGGTTCCCACAAAAATCTCTCGTCAACTTTTCCAATTTTCCAGAAAGTACTTTCCTTAGGATTCCCACTAAATAGTAAACCCCAATAAGTCAAGGGCCATGAGGCAATAGAGCATCCCAAAATGTTTTTGATGATCACCCCTGGGCACTAAGGTCCAACACAAAATGCTTCCCTTTTGTTCTTTCTTTCTATTATTTTTCCCTTCGGGAGGGGGCTTGCATCATGATAGGGGAGTCAATTAGGCACCTCCAAGAGAACCAAAAATATGACAAGCTTGTGAAGGAAAAGAAAATCACATGCTTGATCTTGTTACATGTAAATCAAGTTATCAACAGATTTTATTAATAGAAAAAATAAAAATTCCTGAGCACAAGATTGGGATGGGGATGGAGCTACTTGAATCTTATTTTCAAAGGCTCAAATCTCACAAGAAACAATCTAATGTTTAAGCAAACAAATAAGAAGCAACCAATTTCAATTCATTGAACATCAAATTTCTGTTAATAGTGATCATTGAGACATTAAACAAGAATTCGAGTTTTCCAATGAAATCTGAATTAAACCATGGAAGGAACAATTATATGGCCTCGGCCTTTGGCAGAATTAGAGGTAGCAACATGCAAGAAATTCTTTGTTGAAATTCTTCATTCAACAACCTTAGCTCTAGGATGGGCATCAACATGCAAGAAATCATGTTCTTTATCTTCAACTTTGTACTTTCTTCTCATTGGCTTCAAATTCTTTGTTGTAACCAATTGCTTCTTCTCTATCTTGAGAGCCAATTCAAAGGCATGATTTAAGTCATAAGTCTGAATTGTAGACAATTCATTCTTGGCATCATCCCTTAGTCCATTTGTGAAACGAACTAATTTGTGCTTTTTCACTTTCTATAATGTCACACCAATATATAATTCATCAAACTTATGCATATATTGAACTACAGATAGCATACCTTGCTTGAGATTAGTCAACTCCACATATAGATCATCAAGGAAGTACTGTGGAATGTACTTTTCTTGCAAATAGCCAAATACCTCTTTACCTCTGCCCATGTGGTAATAGGATATTCACCTCTATTTTCTAGTCGATGCTCAAGAGTTCTCCACCATACTTAAGCATGACCCGCAAGCTTCATGTGTGCAAATCTAAATCATTGTTTTTCAGACATATCATGGCAATCGAAATATTCTTCTAGTTTAGCAATATAATAAAAAAATGCTTGCCAGTCTTCATCTCCCTTGAAATTAGGCACGTCACTTTCTCTTCTAACATTCTTGAAAACCTTACTCCTATATCCAACACTACTACATCTACTTTCTTCCACCAAATTCTCAAGTAAATCAACCATAGACCCTTAATATGGTTCAAAAGCCCTATCATGATTGATTCTAGACCCATAAGATTGTTTAAATGATACCCTAGGCCTGTAGAATCAATCACTTTGTGAGAACATGGTGACTAACCATTGGCTCTGATACCAAAACTGAGGCAGTTGGGATGGAACAAACTATCACAAGATAGAAGGGGGGGGGGAGAGAGAGAGGGTGGAGAAAGAGATAAGAGGGAGAAATCCCAAGGAATCACTCCAAGGGTCCTAGCTTCAAAAGAGCTCTAAGAAATCTTCATTCATTCATTAGCTTCAAAAGGAAGAGAATACATCTATACTTATATAGTGACTTGTGGCCCGGAATACTGTTCACCATAATTACAAAAAAGCCACTCCTTGTCTTGGGCTTTAAGAAACACAAAAACTTTCTATCTACTAATGCAAATAAACTGAAATTTGAAAGATAAGCCCTACTAAACTAGAGGAATAAGATGTTATAGCCCAGGCCCACACAGGACTAGCTAAAATGACAAAAATACCCATATTGTCCAAATATACAAAAATACAAAAAATTTCAAAAAAAATTCCAAATTAGATTCTTCAGCTCCTGCATCAGTGTCCCTTGTAGTTGAACCCTTGGTAGAATTCTTGGGGTAGCACAAGCTGATTTAGCACATGGATGAACCCAATGCCACTTAAGGAAGAGCACAATAAGCATGTTCGTATATATAGATCAATGTTTTATAACAACGAGGCATGGCGCAAGGTGCTCCTATACCAGGAGGCATGAGGTGTTGTTCAGAATGCAAGAGGTGTAACAAAGCCTCCCAAGCACAAGCAGGCATAAGCCTCCTCAAGAAGAGAAGGAGGCATATGCCTTCCTTCTTTCTGTATGAAGTGTGCATGAGGTGCATGAGGCATACAAGAGGTGTACGTCTTACACACCTTTAAAAACATTGGTATGGATATTGAGAAACAGAAATAGAACAAAAAGACACCACAGATCCACATACTAAAGAAAACTCAGCTTTAATCCTGACACCCATAGATCCACGTACAAGAAACAAAATTTTCCAGTACATAAGTAGCATCTATAAATACCTCTTCTTCAAAACGCTCAGATACACTCTTTGTGCAGATTGAAGAAGTATACTTTCCTTTGTCTTCATCAAGCTGCAGCGAAATGGAATAGAAGAAATGAAGAAAGAAAATATTAAACTTAATGCTGGGTTGATAAAACTTGCTTAAAAGCATGGTCCATAATTTCCATGAAACATAGCAAAATTTTCCAATTTCACAAGGGGCAAAATGAAAACATTCTTATATTGGAAAATTCCAATATTTCTTGATATTTTCCATATTTCAAAGTTTTTCATATATAAATGAAATTTTCAATTTGTTGGGTGTATATATTCGAAATTTTGGTCAAATATTAGGGAAAATTCCTTAGTAATGTCGAAATCAATAAGAACAACCATGAAATATAAAAATATGCTCAAGCCACTTCTTTTCATAAAATTAAGAAAAAAAAGGTAATTAGATTTATTGGTTCTGAACCTTTGAATCAACAATTTAACTAGCTTTTCAGAAAAAAAAAAAAAAAAAAAAAAAAAACTTTTCAACCTTAGTTGAATAATTTATTTAAGAATAGATAACTCTTTGCACTAATAATACAAAGAACAGTAAAAATTAAGAAAATCAACATGAGATCATTTTATAGAACTCTAAGTGAAAGAGTTGGGATAGAAAAGTTAACTTTGGTTTTAAAGGATGCTCACATTACATTATGATAATGATATTCAAATGCTTTAGGATTTTTAGTCTTCTATACTTTGCAGTATTGCTAGTATATAGTTGCTTGTTATTTTATTGTAAGTTTTGAATGTGAAACTATATTTTTTCAACATTGCTTTCATCACCATTATCAATTTATCATCATCACTATAACTAACAGGTACTGTAGATGGTCTTCTATGCACGTGATCAAACCATCTCAATCTACTTTCTCTCGCTTTATCCCCTATTGGAGCTACTCCTAGGTTCCTTCATACGACTTCATTTCTAATCCTGTCCTTCCTAGTTTACCAGTCATCCATCCAGGCATTCACATTTCTACCAGTTATTTCTAACATTTTTAATATTTCCATATTTCCTCATATTTTCCAAAAATCTAAGCAAAACTTACAAAATTTCCCTAATTGCACATAGAAAAATTCCTAAAAAAACCAAATCATTAAACTGTACTTAAAGGGATCAAAGAAAAGGAGGAAAATCTAAGGAAAAGAAGGCAGAAAATAACACAACCTTATTTGGCGGCACCACATAAGAAATCTGATATGATACAGGATTTTTTTCTGGGTTGTTTTTCACTTCTTTAATTCCAAGTGACAGCTTCCCATACGAAATTGCACCAAACAACACAGCTCCAGCTGGGCAGTTCTGCAAAATATGGAAAGGTTATGCAATGCATGTTATGTAAACAAATATAACACTTCCTGAAATAGAATACCTTTGGGATCTTGTCTTTGGTTGGTGGGCCCACATAAAATGCTTCAATTGACCTACCAGAAAGTATGTCAAATGAGCTTCATAGAATGCTAAGCCATTCAGAAAAACAAAAAAACAACAACAACAAAAAACTGAGAAAAGTGAGCATACCCAGGAACTAAAACTGAGGAATTGAAGCTGCCATTTCCCATCACTGGACCATCAGGTTGAGAATAAAAACTCAACTGAATTCTTTCCTGCATCAAAAAAGGGTCCTTAAGATTCATGAAGCTTGATAGGAAAATATGTAATTGAAATATTACAGTTCGGAGTTGTCAAGAGCAAAAATAGATGGTAATTTCATTACAGTACAGTACAAGTAGTCATTTATTTCTTTTTTTTTCACTCGAGCATCTTCTTCATCATCCAAGCCTTGTACCAGCTATATGGAGTTGGCCGTCATTTCATTCTCTTTAATGGCATATCCATCGTTATGTTATGAGCGCTTAGATCATTTTCTTACTAAACCGATCCATGTCCTTTTTGGTCCACCATAGCCCTTCTAGCCCCTTCAACTTAGAACAGATCACTTCTTCCTACAGGTGCTGCCAATTGCCTTCTATGAATGTGGCCAAACCATTTTAGTCTACTTTCTCTCCTGACCCCATTGGAGCTATTCCTAAGTTCTTTCAAATGACTTAATTTCTGACCCCATCCTTTCAACATTTTCCACCCATCCATCTCAACATATGCATTTCTGCCACTCATTTTTGGACATGTTATTTCTGACAACCCAACATTCTTCTCCATACAGAATAGCTAGTGCTACAACTGTTGCAAAACACAAAGGTGTGTCACAAAGCATTAAAGTTCAGAGGCGTAAGCCTCTTTAAGAGGAGGGGGATGAGGCATAAGCCCCCTTTCCTTTCCTTCTGCACCTGAGGCGTACATGTAAGGTGTATGAGGCATACACCTCTTCCTCTTGCACCTGAAGCATATGCCTCAGGGTGTTTTGTGGGCACCTCGCTTGGAAGCACACCTCCAAGCATACGCCTCCCATGCCTTTTAAAACATTGTTTTCTTTTTAATGCCATATCCACGCTTAAGACTCCGGATGTATCCCTCCATTTTGCCCATTTTTTGCTATAATTCTATGGGTGAAAACTAACAACCTCTACCTTGTTATGAATTATCGAACCAAGGTACCAGAAAAACGTCACATTGAGTAATATTGTGGTCTTCAATCCAATGTTGTACTCGGACTAGATTAGCCACCTAGGAACCGGAAGGCGTTCCGGTTATTTAAAGTCCTGATTTTCTTTTTTTTTTTTGAAAAAGTGGTAAAACTAGCCAAAACCTGGTGGAACAGTTGAAAACCGGCCAGGTTCCAACAATTCATCCAGGTCACTAAATCATTATAATTTTTATTTGTGCTACTTTTTATTAATTATCATAATTCTTACTATTTTTATTATATTTTATTAGTTTTATTACTCTTAAATGTGATGCACAAGCTTTGTTGACATTTAGACAAGAGCCTTAAGACATCTGTAATTGGGCCAATTTGAACCCTATCCATCTTAGCATTATTCTCAAGTTATATATTTTCTAATAATTTAAAAAAAAAAAATCTTGAAGGGATAAGGGATAGGGAGAGTTAATGACTTTTTTATTAAGTTAAATTAAAAAGTAATTTTTTTATTCATTTTAATTAAATTATGTTTTTATTCTTTTATTAATTTATATCAATTTTAATTTTTTCTAAGTCTGTTAACAATTATTTATTGTTTTATTATGTTAATTTTTGTTAATAAATTAAATTGTAATTGTTTATAAATTTTAAAAATTTAATTTATCAATTTTAGAGTAAATTAGTAAAATTAATTTAATTTATTTTAAGTAGTTAGTTACTTAATAAGTTAACCATGTAAAGAAAGTTCTTGATTTTTAATTTACCCTTATTTTTATTTTCCAATTACTTAATGTTGAATATTTTCTTGATAAATATTACTTTTAATAAGTTAAAAAATTATTATTTTTAGTGATTTTTTCTCTTATTTTATCATTTTAATTAAAAAATTGCGTTTCTAATTTTTTTGTTATTTTCTGATTTTTAGAAAATTTCCCTTATTTGATGCTTTTCTGATTTTTCTGTTATTTTATAATTAACAAAGTTATTTTTTAGAGAAAAATTCCCTTGTTTGCTCCTTTTGTTTTCAAAATTGCATGACTAGGTTGAATCAATGAAACCAAATCGGTCTAGCCCGGTATGAATTGGTAATTGAAGCTAACGGTGGATGATTTTCAGGTATTCAAATAACCCTATCCCACTCTTTTTGTTTTCAAAGTTGCATAATTAGGTCAAACCAACAAAACCAGATCGAGTTCAATATGAACTAGTAATTGAAGCTAGCGAGTTGGATGGTTTCCGGGTATCCAACTAACCTAGCCCATGAATATCTTCTTCTTGATGAATAGAGATTTTTAGGCCCCTAGTTGATTTCTCCTTCTTTCTTCTTCTCCTGGGAAACTAACAAAGCTAGGGAAACAAATTGATCCATTTGATATGCTTCAAAAAATTAAGTTTTTCGTAATGGAGCTATAAGACAAAGGAGACAATTCATGTTCGCAGTACGTATTTCAAGAAAACTAGTGAAATGGTCACAAAAGCATGTTAATTATTAGTGATATTAATAGTGTTTCTAATATTTATTTTCAATAAATATTTTCTAAAAATTTATATGATAGATTTCACAAACAAAACCAAATAATCAAGATCTATTTGAATCACTAACAAAATAAATTGAGGCAATAAATTTTTGGGTTATGTAATGATCCAATTCATTAGAGTCATCTTCTTAACCCATCATCTTGCTACAATGTTCACGCGGTGAACACAATAGCGTTTCAACATCAATACAAATAGTAATATGTGGGGCCCAAAAGGTCCCATGGAGAGAGAGAGAAAGAGATATTTTATAATTACAATTTTAAAATATTACTTATAATTATAATAATTTTTTTAATTAATTATAAATGTATTACTTTACTTTATTATTTGTCTTATTGTATTATTTATTTTTTTCTTATTTAGATATTTTTAAACACTAATATTTTAATACATTGATGAAAAATTAAATGCATGTATATGGAAGGTGGAGAGAGATAGAAATAGATAGAGAGAGATAGGGGAAAGGGAAAGAGACTTTAGAATTAGAGAGCTTACCGGGCATGTGAGAGAGACTAGGTGTTTTAGGTAGGGGAGATAGTTTAGGAGAAATTTTAGGAGGGGAGATGGTTTAGGTGATTGGGAACATACATGTGTGTATGTGTGCGTGTGTGTGTGTGAGAGAGAGAGAGAGAGAGTTTATGAGAAAGGAGGAAAGAGGACTGCTGACAATGGAAACATGAGAGGGCTAAGAAGGGTTAAGGACAAAACAGAGAGAGGTAAGGAGAACACTCGGTTGGGAAGGGAGAAAGAAGGGGCCAGCTGACATGGCCCATTAGATTTTAGTGTGTGTGTATGTGTGTGGATTTTTACAACAAAACTGACAAAAAAGGACTTATTATTGACATGTGGCATTTGGGCTCAAATTTGCCCCATGAAGAGAAGCAGAAAACAAAAACATGTGCAGTGTAGCCCTTTCGCCTAACTAGATTGGCATGTATGTGCACGAGTAAGGGATAATTTGGAACATGAAGCAGGGGTTTGGGGGCTGAAATTTGCCTGATCAATAGGTAATGAAAATAAAAGCTAGCTCTTTTGGATCTCAAACCATGTTACCATATAGAAAAGTATGGGCTATTTCTTGCTTTATTTTAGATGAAAATGGAAACTCTGAGTCAGCTAATATTTGTAGAGTTAACATGGACAAGGGGACGAACACTGGTCAATCCCCTACATAAAGGATTATTGAGATTGAGCATCCTATCCATTCATTAGAACAACATCCCAGGCAAGAGAGTGCACCAATATATTAGCAGATTATGGAATGCAGGAAAGCAATGCATTCATATCAGATCAATAATTATATTATATATTCAAAAAGCAGATTATGTACTTTCAATAGAAAGCCAGGAACAGATAACAATTCAAGAAAAAAAAAAAACTCTCTAATTAGTAAAATGATTATAGAAATGGATGAATCATCACAAGATCTAGAATGCATTTAATCTAAGACTTGCATAAAACTCTCTAATTTAATGAGAGGATCAAAGACCTATTTCAGTTCTACCAACAACTTTTATGATTTGAAGCACATTAGGACCCAAAGATTCACACTCTTTATTATGGAGAAGCTACAAAGCTACAAGCAGATTAAGAATTCAGAAGACAAACTATTTTTTTTCCTGGTGGAACAGAAGACAAGCTACATTGCATGTATTAGGTAGGCACTAAATTGATCCCATTAAAAGAACATGATATTACCTTTTCTTCCAAGTTTCTTTCAATGAACAAGACCAGCTGTTTCATTTTCTCCAAGTACTGTACATTATCATGCCTGTAACATAACGATTATCATTACCAAAACTTGAAAACATTACATTTATTTGTTTTTAGCTTTTTATATCAATATAGTTTCTTATTCATGGGAAAATGTCTGGAAAGATTAAAAAACAAGGTTAAGTGGTTCACGGATGATTCCACAAGATTTTAATAATTTTATACCATCGCATGGCCCAATCTAATTTGACAGGAAGCAAACAGACAAGCTGTAATTTTCCCCAAAAACATATATATAATTTCTCCCCAACAAGATGGTCTATACCTTATATAAAGTTGTAGGGTATATTCGCCTTTGGGAAGTTTTGTGGAATTTGGATAGACATCCCCCATTGCATATACACGCTGTAGTTAATAAAGAAAAAAGAGAGATTAGCTCTGCCAGACATAAAAAATAGTCAGTTTATACTTTGAGATTATAATCAAAATGTTCACACATATTCATCATATTCACCATCATATGAAATGATGATGAACAGTCATATTCATCATGTTCAAACATATCCAAAAATACTTCCAAGAGCATATCCCTGGAAATATATGTTATTTAAACATAAGCCTTATCCAACTATATGAGTCAGCTAGAAGAATCCTGTTTCGCCATTCCATTATGTTTAATGTCATATCCATTATTAAATTATTGGTGCTAAAATCATTTCTTACTACTTCTACCCACGTCCATTTTGGTCTACCGCAGCACCACTAGCCCTTTTAAGCTAGAAGTTCTACCCCCTTCAACTTGCAACAAATCACTTCTCACAGGTTCTGTTGATGGTCTTTTGTCCACATGACCATTATTTAAACATATTACCTGAAAAATTAGTGTACTCCATGCAGCAAAAGACCACAGTTCAGATCACTAAATCACAGTTGTAGATTTTCTTTTTCTTTTCCAATCAATAATGAGACCTAAGAAAAAAATGTCAAAAAAAAAAAAAGAAACTGGACATCGAACACATAAATTAATGAACAGAGATAGTCCTTAAATTCAAATTGCCTACTTTGCATCATGTGTTAATATTTCCACTTTACAATAAAAGCAATTTGGCTAGGTTGCATACCCCCTAACAAAAATATATTTTTATTTTATTCTTTTGAGAGATTCACTTGGAAATTAACACTTGAAGTGCAGCAGAAAAAGACCTACATGATCCCTTTCACCATTTAGGTGTTTTATTTGTAAGGTGAGTAATGAGGGCAGTGTTTCAAAAGCACAACGGCCATTTTGCACCCAAGGTGTGAGGTGACGCACACATCTTTTTGAAGCAAAGTGAAAAAAAAAATGCTAAAATTTCAAAATATGCCAAAAAAAATTAAATAATGTAAAATATAAAAACAATATTGATTAAAAATATAAACTTAAATTTTAAAATAAATGTTTTAAAAAAACCTATTATCTCAAATTAAAATACACAAACATAACATGTAAAACATATTTAAAATGAAAAGTAGAGAAGCAAAAAAAAGCAGAAAAAATGAACAAATTTTCAAAAGGCGCACACCTGGGCTAAAGACCAGCACACACCTTGGGCACCAGGTACGTGCCTTTTGAAAGTGTTGCGCCTAGGACCTAGGTGAGGTGCATACCCTAAAATGTGACTCACCTATGACCTATGTGCCTAAGCACACCTAGCACATGCCTTTTAAATCACTGTTTTTGGGTTTAAATCAAGTTGGTCTAACCATCCAAGTTGCACCCCTATTGAGAGTGGTCAATTTCTTCTGTGTATCAAAATCATATATTAATTCTACTTGCATTTTTATCAATTAATTAACCTCAAAATTACATAGTTCTATTTTTTTACTAATTAACTAAAGTTTTTAATGTAATTATTTCTAAATGAAATTTAATTGGACTTGGAATATTATTAAATGGAACTCAAATATTAAAGTCTTAGTATTATTATAATTTCATTTATATTATAACATTATTCCCAAATCCTAATTTTAAAATTTTATTGTCCATTTAATTTAAGATTCATTTTGTTTGGTCCTCTCATTTTGGACCATCCAACAAAGTTGGTAATTTGCCGATGGCCTAGTAGTTGCAATGGCCACTCAAGGTCCCATTGAATATGGAAGCACAGGATCAAACTCATGTAATTGTACGCTCTCCATGGTAAGGTCGGTGGATCTCACATGCACCTTTCTTTGTCCCCACTTCTTAATCCCCCTGTAATGTGTACTATGTACCAAAAAAATAATAATCATATATGATATAACTACCAAAAAACACTAAGTTGGTGGGATTTTGGCCTGCAATGAAATGATGCATGCCCATAATACACCACAACATGGGTTTAACTCAACTGCAGTCATGAACAAACGATCTATAGTTCCACTTCAACTTTGATTCTTTATAGAGTTTAAAATCCATGCCCTTTCCCTTCAGCAACCTCCTAGTGGCACATGAACTGCCTTGGAAGAATTTTCATTCTTCCCTCCAATTTTCTTAGGCAAGGATACCTACTACTTTCAAAGAAAAAGTTTACTTTTTCCATCCTTTGGAGACTATTTCTAGTACAATATGTATTTGATGCTTTAATGGCCTATAAGAATTTTGCATCAACCCCTCGGCCTATAAGAATTTTCCCTTCAATTACGACATAAAGACTCTCCATGTCTTGTACTTCTTTAATTCATAATTCCAAAACCACACACATCTTTGGCCCAACTAACTGGTCTCTCGTGTCACACAACTAATAGACATTGGAATGGGACTCATCAGTACAATTACTCTAATCTAATACTTTACATGAAATGGCCCCCTGTAACATTTACAGTCATTTATCGTAGGTGGGTCTTTTGTTTTTTAGGAGGAATAAAGAAGAAGACTCTTTAGATGGGAGAGGGGAAGGTAGGTTTTCTGTCATTTTGGCAGCTTGCAAGGCATGGTGTTAAAGTTTTGTGTCCATATTACAGCCACTAGCAATTCGCGAACTAAAGAAGAGAAAAGCAAATAAAAGGGGAAAAACACTCACTACAACAAAATGACTTTGGAGGATATGCTCGTGAAGTGCACTTGAAGAGGGACTCAATTAAAAAAAAAAAAAAAAAAGATAAGGGGTCGAGGAGATGGAGAAGGTTGCTGAGCTGGATAACATTGTTTTAGTTTGTTTTTGTTCATCTGTGTGTATATAGATTGTTCTAACTCCCACCCAAAATAGCAAAAATTATTTGGAGATCATTAGAAGTTGTGGTTTTATGGACTATTATTCAAGAAGAAAAAAATGACAGAATGTTCTCAAGAAAATAGAAAAGCTAAGTTTCCCTGTCACGGCTAGGATGACAGTGAACTGTTAGCAAAGAGAAGAATGATAGAAATAGAATATTCTCAAGAAAAAAAAAAAAGAAAACTTTAGTTCCCTAATTAATTTACCAAAGCAAGGACAGCCTGTTAACAACATCAAAAGAGAAATCAACAAATACAGTCCTTCACTTCATCCAAGCTTCTTTCCTTCTCTAAGAGGACTCTTGCATTCCTTTCCTCCCAGAGAGTCCATAAGGTAGCTGCCCTAACAAATTTTCACATGAACTTAACTCTTCTTGTGAGCCACACAACAGTAGGTGGGTTAAATAACAAACTCACATCAGATGGCGGAGACCACCTACATCCAAATAAACTAGGGCTCCAACTCCATAAGGCTGTAGCAAAGGAACAAGAAATCAGCAAATGGAAACATTCCTCATTCTGGGCCTTACACAAGGAACACCAATTCGGGGAAAGACAAAGAAAAGGTCTCTTTGTCTGCAAGTTTTCCAAAGTATTGATTTTCCCATAGTAAACTTCCCAGCAGAATGCAACAATTTTTGGAGGAATATGTCTCACCCAAACTTCTTTAATAGGGAACACTCGGGACTAAGGTTGGAACTCAGGGATTTGAGAAAAGAAGCACAAGTAAAGGTACATTTTGGGAAGAGGAGTCCAAACTCTTTGATCAGAAGTTGTGGGGTCCAAACAAATTGACTCAACTAAATGAAGCAGCTCAGTGACACAAGTCAACTCACCATCCCTTAGTCCCCTATGAAATCCAAAGTCCCAATTTAAAGACAAGGGAATAAACGGGTTCAGAAGATACTTTGCAATTGGATCGTTTTTGTAAAGGAAGAGAGAGTAGAGCGAAGGGAACCGATCTTTGAGGGGTTGATTACCCACCCAAACATCCTCACATAACCGAATAAAATCACCAGAGCAAGCATCATAACTGATAAACCTGAGGAAGTGAGGGAGAACACCATGTATAGCCTTCCAAGGTGTTGTGAAGGTAGCTCGATGAGATATCCCAGCATCCCAACCATTTTCTGAGCAGCCATGAATACTTGACACCACCTCATGTCATAATCCCTCTCTCTCCCGAGGCCATCTCCATAACCACTTCCCTAGGAAGGCTTCATTCTTCTGCATTATGTTCCATATCCCCAGGCCTCCTTCTTACTTAGGTTTATTGACTATCTCCCATCTAACTATATGGTCCTTTTTCACCTCTCCTAGTTCCCACAAAAAATCCCTCATTACCTTCTCTAGTTTCTTAGCCTCCCTTGGTGGAATCCTAAAGACTAAAAGGAAATAGATTGGAAGGTTGGCAAGTCTGGCTCTAATCAAAGTCACCCTACCCCCTACTGAGATGTAATCCTTTTTCCAGACCGCCAAGCATTTGTCGAATTTCCCCACAATGGGGGCCTAGAAACTACTTTCTTTAGGGTTGGCTCCTAAGGGAAGACCTCGGTAGGTCAAAGGCCAAGAAGAGATGGCGCAACCTAAACACCCTACAATGGATTCTACCTCCCAATTCTCCATGTTTACTCCAGCCACGCAACTTTTGTCAAAGTTAACTCTCAAGGTTGTCCACCTTGCTTAAATCATTCCCTTCACAAAAAATAACAATATTGTTAGCAAACTGAAGGTGAGTTACTGAAATGCCTCTCTTACCTATTCTCCGACCCTTTATTAGGTCCTCATCTGCTTTGGAGAAAGTGGGTCACCTTGTCTTAGGCCTCTATTGGCTGGAAAGAAATCCTTAACCACTCCATTAACCAAGACAGAGCAATGACAAGAATTTAAACATCCACTTATCCAATTACACCATTTGTTCCCAAAACCACGCCTTCTGAACACCTCCAACAAAAAACTCCAGTCCACTAGATCATAAGCCTTTTCCAAGTCCAATTTGCAGACAAAGCCTTTCTACCATATCTCATCATCTCCTCCACACTCATTTTCAATGAGGATCTGATCTATAATTTGTCTATCCTATAGAAAGGCTCCTTCTGCTTGGCTAATGAGAGAAAGTAGTAGTACTTTGATCCTCCTAGAGAGTACTATTCCAAAATCTTATAAATGCTAGCCACCAAGCTAATTGGCCTAAAATCTTTGGGGTGTTCAGCATCAGTCTTTTTAAGAACTAGAGCTAGAAAACTAGCATTGATTCCAGGACTCATAATATGTTTTTCCTCAAATTCTCTAGTGGCTCCAATTAAATCTTCTTTGATTATGCCCCAGCAGTGTTGATAAAATGCCATTGTAAACCCATCTGGTCCTAGTGCCTTAGACCTATCCATTGAAAAGACAGCTTGTTTAATATTCTCTTCCTCAACCATTATTTCTAACTATCCCCTGTCCATCTCATTCAAAGTTGGCCAATCCTCCACTCTTACCCGATTATCCAAAGGTCTCTAAAAGATTGATTTGAAATGAGCCACAAACCTACTAGCAATCTCCAATTGAGAGGATATATCAACTCCATCAACCTCAAGCTTAAGTATCAAATTTTTCCTTCTTATCCCATTAACCATAACATGAACAAATTCAGTGCTTCCATCCCCTTCCATGATCCATTTCTGCCTAGACTTTTGTCTCCACGAGATCTCCTCCCACAACAAAACCTCTTCTAATTCCTTTTTCAATTTCAATCTCAATTCTCTATCATGTGAATTCATCATCCTTTGGTACTCTTTTGCATCTAACTTCTCAATCTGAGTCAATAGTCTAGCTTTTTCTACATCCACTCTTCCAAATTGATCCTTGTTCCATTCTTTCATTTTGGCTCTCTTAACCTTTTTAATTTTTTGTGTGGAATCTAACCCCATTCCATTTCACTCCACCATTCCTCGACCTTATAAATGAATTCTGGATGTGTTAACCACATATTCTCAAACCTGAAGGGTCTAGGTCCATTTTCTGGCGGTTCTTATCCTACTTCTATGGGGCAATGGTCAAAGGTGACCCTAGGTAAAGCCTTAGCCACCAAACCTCTCCAGTAGCTCTCCCAACCCTCAATGAAAAGAACTCTATCAAGCTTCGAACAAGTTGGGTTTTCTTGGAAGATGGACCAAGTGAAGATAGCTTATAGTAAAGGTAGCTCTCGTAACTCAAAAGAGTTAATGAAGTCATTAAACTTCCTCATACTAGTCGTGATGGCCTATCAAGCATTATTTGACTCAGTTGTGAACCTTATTGCATTAAAGTCCCCTCCCACCCAAGCACCAGAGGCCTTCCCATAAACCTTGGATGCCATGAAGCTCTTCCTATAACTCATTCTTCTCTGTATAATTATTTGGCCCATACACATTTGTTAACACCCAAGTAAATCCATCTTCCACCATCCCGAATTTTAGGGATACAATGAAATTTCCTATCCGCTCCTCTACTAGTTTTACGAAATCCTCCCTCCCAAAGTTACTATAACCCCCAAAGCTCCCCAAGAGGGAGTTGAACACCATCTCACACCTCTTACTTTCCAAATCTCTCTAACCCATCTCCTATCTAGTTCAGCTAGTTTGGTCTCCTGTAGGATCACAATATCAAGCCTTTCTCTTCAAAGCAACTCCTTAATCAGTCTCCTTTTTCTAGAACTGTCCAAACCTCTTGCATTCCATCTGATGATCTTCATTAACCTTCTTGATCTATGCCCTCCAAGACACTATCTTCCCCTTATTTAGAGCCCTTTTTCCTTTCCCCTCTTCCACTGAATACAATATCCCCTTCAATGTCCAAATTAGTTTCTCTACTTCAAAGTTCTTCTTTTTCCTTCTTACCGACTGACTTCCAAGACGGCTCTTTATTTCCTGTTTCCTGCACCAATTTATTGGGGCTTGCATCTCATTTAGCTTTTTTGGGGTCTCCACTACCATCTCCTCTTTCTCTTTATAGTCCTCCAACAGGGTAGAAATCTGCTCCCAAATCCATTCCAGTTCCTCTTGTTTCTTTTCTACTAAAGAATCCCCCATCTTAGTTCGAATTCCAGCACACTCATTCATCACTCCCCTGCTGCCACTTGGTTGTTCTGGTTGAGATTCCAAGATATCTGTTACAGGCATAAAACCCAGATTAGTATCTAAAAGCAAATGGTCAGGCTTACCTGAAGGTAATAGAGGTGAATGCAATGGGACCAGATGTTGGGTATCAACTGTTGAAGTCAAGACCAGACCCATTCCTAGTTCGTGATTCAGCTGTTGAAGTGGACTAGGTTCAACCGTGACTTTTTCACCCCCTGCAGTGAAAGGTACCTCTCTAGTCTTTCCCTCATGACATCTTTTGGTTTTTGAAGGTCAATGCTTCCCAGACTAAGGGTTTCTCCAGATTCTGAAATTGAATCAGAAAACTCTTCATCATTTGTTGGCATTTCCAGATCTGAGTCGTGTATCTTACTGTGATACACACACCTCGGATTACGGCGATCCTGTGAAGATCAAGCTAGCTTCTTCAATGGGATCCAATGTAAGGAGCTGGATGCCTTTGCAGAGCTGTTCAAGCGAAAGGAGGAGCTCGAGGAAGACAATGGTAGACCTTGTTTCTAGTCTACCTGAGATGCTCCCCCTGTCATGTGCACCTTTAAGTCCTCACGCGCCAACTTAAGCCCTGGACCATTTAATTTTGGCCCACTTAACTTAGTTTTGGGCCTACTGGGCCCAGGAGGCAAAGTTGAAAACAAAAGCCCATTATCCATGGGTTCAACCACAACAAGATTTTCAGATTCTAACGAGGCACCAGCCTGACCCGATGGTTTACCTCCCCCATTCTGTGGTTCAGCTCGTACTACGAACGGACCCTTCCCCTCCCCTACAGTATTTAGTTCATTTAAAACATTCAAATTATTTTGCATGGCGCTAGAAGCTACTACCTGAGCAAATGTCCTATTGGTTGTCATACCCTTACCTTGTATCTCACGTTTTCTACTATTCTCCTGACCCAAATCTTTTGGACTGCTTAAAGGTTGTCTTTCCATTTTGGTGAAATTGCCCAGTTTCTTCTATTTGACCAACTCCAAACTGCCACGTAGCTCCACTTTCAACCTTTTCATCTTCCTCCTGTCTAGCCTCCCTCCAAAGAGCAAATTCAATGGAGGAAGCTAACCAGACTGGTAAAAACAATCCATCAACATCAATGGTCACCTTCCTCGGTATATCATCTGGTTTTACTCCACCCAGTAGAAGGGCTGTACTTCTTAGGTCTCCCCAAAATACAACATCAAGGCGAGCACCACACAGCAAAGCAATTGAGTTTGCTGTCTCTTGACTCCAAAGATGGAATGGCAAACCAATCACTCGAACAGTCACATTAGCTTCAACTGAGAAGATTTTTGAATTGGAAAATGTAGACCATTTAATAATTGAGAAGGTCCCCAGAGCATCTTGAATACATAAAGCTATAATATTTACCTGGTTTTCAAGAGGACCCAGCACTGCCTTAGCATGATCAAACGGAGTTAAAATAAAGGTGCTCCTTAGCCCCAGTTTGAACTTAAATAATTCTGCAACTTTCAACCAATCTATCACCAACTTTTCAGCTTCAATCACTAGCATTCTTCCCATTGTCCTGTAATCCCATCTGCTACCAAGGAAGGATTCCTACTGTTGTTAGCCAAGGCCAAGAATTTCTTTTTTGGTTCCTCTTCCTTACACAGGATATGGATGCTAACTAACGGACTTTGATCACTTTTGTCAAATTCCATAACTCTTTCTTCTCCAGTTTCCTTCTGTTTAGGAAATATGTTAGTACACCAGCAACCCCTTTCCAACCTTGACTATTTTTTTCCCTTGAGGGAAACAAACCATTTGCTTCCTTCCTTTGGAGCATTATTCAGTGAGAGATATGAATGCACCCTTTGCATTCCTCTTGCTTTCCATCACATACCTCCTACCTGTCTCTGAGAAATATTCTTTCCATTTTAGCTGCCTCCCTTTAGCTGCTGCATCAGAAACAAACTCTTTCAACCAGTCAACCATCTCTGAGCCCTCCACAAGAACCATGGCCCTCTCCCAAAATTAGTTGTGGCTTTCGACCACCTTTTCTTTTCTTTAAGTTATTTTCTACTTAACTCTAATCCTACGTATGCAATGACTCTGAAATTTTAAACATAAACAAATATAACTATACATATTAAACCCAATCATTGAACCCCACAAAATTGCAAAATGACAAAAATACCCCTACTGTCCAAAAATACAGAATTTCATAAAATTCCAATTTTGACTCTTCAGCTCCCGCATCGGATTAAGAGTTAGTTTTTATCATTTTATTGATCAGTAGATAAAGTTTTTATCATAGATATCCTAGTCTGGAAAATGAAGGCAAAGATCTCTTGAATATCCAATGTGGGAATGTGGTTAGTGTTTGCAGAAGGATTCTTTATCTAGGGAGGGCGTGGGAGAGACTTAAAACACTTCTTCATTTCGTCATCAACATGAACCCTGTTTTGCCATTCTTCTCTGTTTAGTGCCATATCCATCGTTGAACTATGAGCACTTAAATCTTTTCCCACTACTCCATTTGAATCCTTTTATTGGGATCCTCGTTCCCCATAGTACTTGTTTCTCATTTTATCAAATATAGTCCTGATCGGTTAGTAACCAGAAAATAGAGAAAGATCAGAGGAAGGGGAAAATGACTCAGAAGACATCAAAAGGAGGAAAATGACTCACCCCATATACAAAGAACATCCTCTTCACCCTAAATCAGCTATAACCCAGTGCTTTATGTCATAGGGGCAGACCACTCAATACAACTTAGACCAATCCACTCCCTCTATATCTTGAAAGTACACTAGGAAGTTTTCTGATCTCTGGAGCCAAACGAAAAGGACAGATGTAAAAATTAAAAGACAAAAAATGGTACCAATAAGTGCCTAAACAATAGTAGAATTCTTCTTTCCACAGAAGAGATAGAACAGCAAATAATAATGTGAAGATGGAGAAACATTACAGTGAAAATAGAAGATAAAGAGAACATCAATGGTAGAAGAAAGAATATACACATAACCCATAATAAAGCCATTCCAATGGCCGCGTACCTTGTTTGAATCTGAAATCATATAAAACTGGGACTCAAATTTTGTATCATATATACGATTGTTAAGTAATGGAACTTGAGGCTTTATCTCAGCTCCATCCTCCAATTTGAACTTGTAACTGTAGAACCGACAAGATATTCTAAGAAAAGGATAAAAGATAATTTTCAGCCATAGAAGAATGGGAACTGAAGCACAGTATGAAGCAAACCCACGTTAATGTTAATGCAAGAATCTGTTTGCCAGAAGGTAACTTGTCACGGTTTGTAGGAAGGGTACTAAGTTTAACCTCAGTAGGTCGATAAGGAACTCTTATCTGCAAAATGGAGCAACCAAAAAGGAATTGCTAGCTGCACAAAAGAGATAAGGTGCAGAAAACTATATAAACAATATTAAATGGATGCACCAAGCTAGGATAGTAACGTGTTACCCTGTACAGACTGAAGTCTATTTTACCTTGTTTAAAGTGGCAGCTGGAACAAGTTTCTCAGATGATAAGGGAGCCTTGGCTTCAATTCTTATTGGCGCTTCAGATCCATCAAGTACTATTTCCTCTGTGTTGACATCAATCCCATGAAATCCAACCTAAGAACACATGTTGAAGAAAAAAAGAGTCCAAATCACCGAAATACATAATATTTTCGTTCTAAAAAAATTGACCAAATTTTCTTTTTTCTGATCAATAACTGAAAATCTTCTTGATAATTGATATAGGATTACATGATAAATTACAAAGAGATCAATTTTACAAGGAAAAGTAGAGCTAGCCCTTTGTTCCACTTTTCAAGAACTCCCCAAGAGCCCTGCAGTACAAGCAATACCCCCTTTGAAGTAACAGATATCCACTCCCTATCCTCTGGGGCTCCCGGTGAGATTGAAAGCCTTTTCTCTTGCTTCTATCAATTCCCAGGAAAGAAAAAATCTCTCCAAGTAAGAAATTTTTTTGTATTCAGAAGGATTCTTAGGCTGCCCAGAGGGGATCGATCCGATCCTGGAGGTTATTTCTTGTTTTTATTGGAATTTTTAAGCTATTTGAGAAGCTATAGAAGATGGTGAAATTGAATAAAAATCGAATGGTGACCTTGGACTGGGTGAGGGAGGTGCCAGTGAACCTTTAGGGTCTAGTACCATCACTGCTGTTAAATTAGATGGTACAAACTATCTGGAATAGTCACAATCAGCCAAGATGATCTGATCCTGGAGGTAAATTCTTGTTTTTATTGGTGTTTTTAAGCTATTTGAGAAGCTATGCAAGGTAGTGGAATTAAATAAAAATCTAATGGTGACCTTGGACTGGGTGAGGGAGGTGCCAGTGAACCTTTAGGGTCTAGTACCATCACTGCTGTTAAATTAGATGGTACAAAATATCTGGAATAGTCACAATCAGCCAAGATGGCAATTGGTGTACGAGGGAAACCTGAGACAAAGAACATGGTGATGACCTGGCTATGTAATTATACCCTACCTCATATAAGCAGAAATTTCTTGTGGGCTAATACAACAAAGGAAATCTGGCAATTGGTGTACAAGGGGTGGGGCTTTTTATAGTAAAAATAAAATAAGATATCATTAAAAGATAAAAATACTACATCATATACAGGTTTAAGCCAACACCTACATGCCAACTACTCTAACATAAACATCTCAAATATTTGGTGATTCAAATGGTTCAGTCGTCCAGTATGAGCCAGCTGTTTGTCTCCTTATTACCAATGAGGTGAGTTAATACCATGTTATGGTGAATTAATTGGGTCAGATCCAAGGCCATAGACCTTCACTTTGTACAAGGATTGGTAAGTATCTCAAGAAGCACTCCTAGGCTGTTATGGGGTGGTGCCATGGCAGGGAACTGATTCAAGTGGGCCTTAGATTTTTAGAAGATGGCAATTGCTACGATTTTAAGAAGATGGTGTGAAGATATGGGGCCTATGATCTGCCAATTTGATGGCTGATGAACTTGCCAGGGGTGCTGCACAAAGTTTATTGAATTACTGTAAAGAGGATGAGGAACTGTTAAAATATATAACAGAGATCCTAATAATGATCAAAGTGATAAAATCATAAATTACAAGGATAGGGATCCATACAACATAGCATTCACCCATAGTAAAGCCAAAACAACAAGGACACCAATAAAAATTCAGTGAGGATAAGAACTGGACTATGAGATCCATCCCTAAACAGAAGAGCTTCAGATCCAGAACAAAATCTTCAAACTCCACTCCGAACTAAACTGTAAATCAAAGATTTGGCCAACCTTGGAATCCATGTCAATGAGTTGTTAACCTGGAACCATAGGTATGAGCTTTCCAAATATGACGCTACAAGGACCAAAGTCCCATCCCATAGCTCCAGCATACATCCAATCAAATAAGAATCGCTGTCAATCTCCGCTCTCTGAAAACAAGGATTTTTTTTGGAAAAAAAAGATACGGTAATTTTATTGGATGAAATAACCGATACAAGAAAGGGTAGGTTCAACCAACTGAACGCAACCCCAACAAAGCCACTACAGATCAGTTACACCACAGATTTACAGATTGCAAATGATTGAAGATGGGTTGTCTTGAAGGAGGGAAAACATCTCTGGACAAATAGAACCACCAAGCTCAATGGGGTAATCAGAAAAGAAATAACCCCATTGCATTGAATCTTTAGAAAAGATTATGGCATTTGTTGCCTTCAAAATAGAAGAAAAAGATGGGCTCAATCAGTCCCAGAATAACTAGGCAGCTGTCACTGGGCACAAAAAAAAACCATTTCCAAAATGATTTATTTTTAATATTTATTCTTTTCTGTATTTTTTTCAATCAGAAACCAAAGCAATATGCAATTTTTAATGGAACGTTAAGTAGTAAAGAGAGGTCATGTAGCCCATAGTTTGCAATATTAGCAAGATTTGGCAACATTTCACTTGGGGACTATATGAAAGATTACAATAATATTTTACCCCTATATCGCTGATTGACAAATTAAATATTCAAGGTCTAAGTTTCAGAATATAGTCAAAACATTCCTATATTCTGCAAAAATGATCATGAAATTTTTCCTAAAAGAAAAAATGGGACTTTAAGGATTGGATGATTGGCATACTATTCCAATGTGGTTCACTTACTATGTTACCAAGTCACTATATTTCAAGAAAAATGGACAGACAACTAGAAAAAGGGGATTCTCAATACAATCAAATTATACAGTAACAAAAAATACATATTTTTTTATGATAATGAATTAGATGTTTTAGGTAATCAGTAGACCTATTTAAGTCACCTAGCCTTCCTCTTATTAGATATACAGAGTTGTTTGTTATGGGCATTTAAGTCTTAAATGTAAATCATACTTCTTCTAACAACCCCTTAAGTTTCATTAACAAATTCCATGTTTTTAGTGATTTTCACAAATCCCTGATTTTGCAAACATCTTAGATAAATTAGTGAAGTGCCCCTGAAACTTCTATTAATGCATGGCAAAGCATCAATAATTTTAAAATTGCAAAACATGACGTAACCTACCCTCACGAAAAGAATCCTGGCCCACGTAGCATTCCAGAATAAAACACTCACTGTGGTGCATACACATACATTATGAATAAAAGGTGTGATTTGTTCCTTAACTTTAACCATTTTCTTGATGAGTCATGGTAGCTGGATATCCTTCCACATGGAGAACTGAAGATTAGAAACCTTGATTTTCATATTTTATTAATGAAAATTCCATTATTGACAAGAAAAATATTATTCTTTTCAACATTAAATTTGTGGGAAAAGGTCAAGTTAAATAGGACATGTAAAGGAAGCATTTTAGATCCATGGTTCTGGCAAAAACTCCTCATATAAACAGAAAACATAAAGGAAAACATCCCCCATTAATAAAATATGATACCTGAAAATCTACAGTAGTGGTTTCATGACTTCCTATGCCACTTGACCAAAACTGAGCAATGGCTAATTCCATTGTCTGACCACCTTTCACAGGAAAGGTGAAACTTTTGGAAGAAGGAGACGAGAACGTTACAACGCTCTCCCACTTAATAGGCCTCTTCAAAGGAGATATCTGCATTACAAGAATGTTAGGAGATGCACTTCCAGAAATGTGAAGATTTCAAAACATTCTGACATCCTGTACCTGAACAGCATCAACAAAAAATCTTCTAGCAGTATCAAACCCCGATGTTCGCATAGTTGCCTCAGCCCAACTGGCACCAGGTGGTACCTCGATAAATCTCCTTTCAATATGACCTATTTAAGTAATGTAACCCATAAGCATAAAAATTGTTGAAGTAAACTTCCAACATCTCAACACAAGTAGTTAACTAAAATATAAGTATTCATTGAATCTTGCAGCACAAGCCAATGCTTTATATTCAATGTTACTGTGCTAGTATGGAAAAGAGTAATGAGAATTAACAACATAATTCAAGTGCCATCACATAGATCATGTGATACAGATAAGTGCATGATTGTACACCAAACTTGTAGATGCATCACATGACCTGAAAAGCATGCATTTTCCACGTGATTTTCTACAAGAAATGTTTGATATTTTGCAAGTTTTGGTAGCATAGATCTCATTGGAGACAATCATTAAAAAGCAGCTATCAGGTCGATCTGAACAAAAGACAAGGGAAAGGTCCTTATTTTGAGGCATGAATGTGCTTTTTTTTTTTTTTTTTTGAGAAGGTGAATTAATATATTGTATCAATCAACTATCCAAGAAGTATACAGCAGCCAAAGTACATTGACTGTATAGTGTGACTGTACAAAACAAAAGGAAGCAAAAACATATTATCAAACAAAACAAAAGGCCTCTTTTTTTCCTGCAATCTTCTTGGGATTTTGTCAATTGGTGTGTTTTCACTTGCATTGTGGTTGTTTTAAATTCATATATTGAAATGATCATCTTTTTAACTTAATTCCTTTTGACAAGAAAAGCTTCTACCCCCCCCCTCTAGTACAAATTTTTCTATTGTTAAATGAAATATAAGGTGGCAGACTGGTCACCAAAGACATTTGTCGTACTTTAATTTCCACTTTAAACCCATATCCATTTGTCTTTATAATCTGGATAGAATTATCAACATTCCTAAAAAAATATCAAAGAATTGGATAGTAAAGACATGAAAACCCAAAACTTTATAGGGGTATGACTTGGCCACATCTCATTATTAATAAACAGGGTATGCTCCTAATTAGTAGTTAAAAAGTACAACTCCAGATGACAGAAAAATACCCTGCAGAAAACAAATACCAATGTCCGATACATGTTATCTCTCTTACTTTGATATTCTGTCAATAATTGTGAAAATATCCAACTACAAGTACTATTAGACATTACTTAACTTTGACGATGAAATGCTTTCCAATAGAAAACGAAAGTATTTAATTATTAGGTAAGCTAGGAAGGAAAAAATTACTTGTAAAATAACCATCTCAAAACATAAATATAATGACCAATCTCTTTGAAATGCTAGCAATAATACATCTCAGCTGGCATAGAAGACCTCACTAACATTTAAGACATATGATGCAGCACTATTAATTTCTCAACTAGAAAACAGGGATGCAAATCTATAATCTTATAAAACATGTTAAGAGGTAAACATAACTTGAACATAGCATCAAGAAAATATGCAAAAATAAATAAATAAATACCTGGTAAAAATGGCATCCCTGAGAATGAAATCAGTGGAGACTGAGCTTTTAAAATGGCGGGCTTTGTTATCGTGATTGGCACCCTGAATAGAGGACCACGCCATGGTGCTTTGCAATCAATTCCATAGAGTTCATAATAGTGAAGCCCTTCACCAAGTGAGGAAGGATCCACCACCACACTGGAATAAGAAAATGGAGGAATAAAAGAAATAACTTGTTAAGAAACCAAGCCACACACAACTATACAAACAAAATTAACTTCATACAAGATTAAAATGGTGACATGTTATGGTGTTTTTATAAGGCAGATTTCAAATAATTTGTTTAACTTATTTCTTCAAACCATGAATAGAGAAAATCGATTGATGACTGGTTCAATATACATTGACTTGTATATCTCATCTTTTTCTTTAATCTTCAAATTACACTTGTAGGTCGTGGGCAAACTAACCCAAAAATTTGGTTAGTGTTCAGTTAATATTACATATAGTTGGAAACTAGTGTTGTAAATCTAGGGTTTGTATGAGAAAGAAAGGGAGACAGGAGAAGAAGAGGAATGTGTCGAGTGGTGTATTGTTGTTACTGTTCACACCCTCAAAAGGCACTTCATATTTTGAAACAAGAAATTACAAAGAGGCCCCTACTTGGGCCCAAACACAAAAAGAGTACAAAGAGAAGAGGTAAAGACTAAAAACACCCTTGCCTAAACTTTCTTAACACTCCCCCTCAAGTTGAGCATATATGTCAATCATGACAGCTTGGCAAGGTTCTTAGCAAACTTTGCGTGGTGAACACCTTTATTGAGGCAATCGGCTAGTTGGTCTTCCAATCTTACAAAAGAAAGGCAAAATCTCTCCACTAGCAATTTTTTTCTCTAATAGTGTATGTCCACCTCAACATGCTTTGTACGACCATGTTGAACAGGATTGTGGGCAATGTTTATGACTACTTGATTGTCACAATATAGTTTCATTAGGATATCCGCTTGGATGCCCATCTCAGTCAATAAGGTCTTCAACTAGAGTAGTTCAAACACTCCATGAGCCATTGCCTTGTATTCTACCTCAGCACTAAAACGAACAACCACAAATTGTTTCTTACTTCTCCATGAAACAACATTGCCTCTGACTAATGCACAACAACCAGATATAGATCTTCTATCATCAATGGACCCTGCCCAATCTACATCTGTGTAAGCCTCAATCGTTAGATGGTTGTGGTTGGAATACAACATCCCTTTACTAGGCAACCTTTCAGATAGGCTAAAATTCTATTAACTGCCTGCATATGAGACGTCGTAGGCTCATGCATATATTGGCTAACCACGCCAACAGCATAGGATATTATTAGTGTAGGGGTATTTCTGTCTTTATACTTATGTTGAGGTTGCTGGTCTATAATATTATATTAGAACTAGTGTCCCTCACTTAAGTAAGGGCACATGTGTCTTTTCCATTATGTTAGTAATATAAAACATGCCTGGCCGAATGGGAGAGGTGATTTTTTCCCTTATTCGAACCAAACTTTTCTTCTCTCCTTTTCTCCTCCATTCTCTCTCTCTTTCTTTCTTCTTTCTTCTTCTCTCTTCTTGGTTGTTATCAGACTAACAAAACTCAAAGGCAGGCCAAACCATAATATGGTATCAGAGCTCAACTAAGCAACTCGGATCTGTCCAGATTTCTGTTTTCTGCGCACTCAATCTAGGGTTTTCTCTTGATTTCTCTGCCATCAATTGGAGATAAGGGAAAGGGCTGAAAAGGAGTGGTCGCCCTCTTCCTTTGGAGGTTTCTATGCCTCCARTTGTGTTGTTCATGGTCAGTTGCTGTGGTTTCTAAGAAGCCCTCCCCTAATCRATGAAGAGAAGAGGGCTGATTCGTGTGGTGCAGTGGGTGTCTTGTGTGGTCTGATTTTCTTGTGTGGTTTGTTTTTCGGGTGATGAGGTAAGAGATTTCTATGCATATTTTTGTTATGAATCAAATAGGAAGTATGTTTTAGATTGTATGATGGGATTTCAGACTGTAGTGTGCTAGGGTTTACGCTGTTTTTTTGGGTGATACGAAGGGGGAGTGGTTCTCATATAGTGGTGAGATTTCAGGTGATCGTAGGGTAGGGTTTGTGGTGTAAAGAGTGCAATCTTCAGCAATAACAAGTGCTGAAACCAGTGTGATTAGTGTGATCAAGTAGTGTGCAGTGTGTCGAATTCAGTAATAACAGAATTCAGCAATGGGAGATA